AGAACCGGGCTCCGCATCGAGCCGCACCGTCGATGCTTCGGCCATGCGGCGCGATCCTCGGGCCCCATCTACTCTGACCCCACCCGGCAGGCCTAGACTTTTGCCTCTCGGAGGTCTGGGGGGAGACCTCTGGGACGTTGAGGAGAGGTATCTGTGAGTCCTCTCCTCTGGAGGAGGAGGAGGAGGAGGAGGAGGAGGAGGAGGAGGCGGAGGAGGAGGCAGAGGAGGAGGAGGAGAAGGAGAAGGAGAAGGAGAAGGAGGAGGAGGACACCCTCTGGAGACCTCCAGGAGACCTCTAGGAGACCTCCCCGGGAGCACCGCTAACCGGAGGATCCAAGAGGAGGCTGCCGGGAGCAGCTCGGCCTCGAGCGCCAGTGCCCACGCCTGCAGTCCCGGCCGGGCGCATCGCCGATGCACACGCATCGCGCCGCATCGCCGCTGCACCCTCGAGGCGGCACGAGCCGCTGGCCCCGTCTGCCCCGATAGAAAGCAGACCATCCATCGGCGGTGGACAAACCTCCCTTTAGTAAACCTCCCTTTTAGTGAAAACGGCCTAAGACCAAAACCGACGGACCTGGAACCGCAAAAATGACGGCCGCGGCGCCCTCTCGCACGGCCAATCCTCCCGGAGGCGAGGCGGGGGCGCGTCCTCCCCGCCCACCGCCGGGGGGCATCTGCGGTCGGGGCGCGCGCCCCGTCGGCGATGGGGGGCCTCCCCCCGCCGCCCCCGCCCTCGTGCGCCTCCTCCCCCGCCGCGCCTCCCTCGCCCTGCCCCTGCCCCCTCGGGAGAACGCCGCGCCGCAGCTCCTCTCGGTTCTGCGCGCTGCAGCCCGCACAGGCGGAAGACGGTGGCCGGCGGGGCTCTTCCAGGAGCTGTGCGTGCCTTGTCGTGCCCTGGTCTGGACGCGCGCCGCCAGCCGGCGGCACCTCTTCCGCCGACGTGTCGTGCGGACACGGCGCTATGGATTGGCCGCCTGGGAAACCTAGAAGTCCCAGGACCCCCCAGCGGCGAGGGGTTCGGATGTGTCTGGGCCCCGCGTGGGGCCCGCAGGTATCCATCCATGTCCACCGCCTGCCTTGGTCCCCGAAGATCCCAGGCGGTGGTCATGCACAGATCCCCGCCTCGGACAAGAGGCACCCTGGGCCTCTCGGAAGGCGTGTGGGCAGCCGGGTGGCCTCCAGGGCACCCCCCTGCGAGGCGCAGGGGGGCCCCCAGGGCCGGGCCCCCCAGGGCGCAGGAGGCTCTTGGCCCAGGGATAGGGCGCTCGCTCACGTGGATGACGCATCCGTGGATCGAGCGCGGGGGCGCCACACCCACGGACGGGAAAGCCACGCACGGAGGCTCTCGGTCGCCCCATGGCGCCCCATAGCGCGCCCAGAAGCACGCAGCGAGGCCAGAATGCACTTCCCTCGCATGGCGCCAGTGGTCGCTATCGGTTGCCATTGGGCGCTCTCTGCACGCCGTTCGGCGCTACTGGGCGCTATTGAGCGCTGTCTGGCGCTATCGAGCGCTATTTGGCGCTACTTGCTGCGCTCAACCCAAGACGAGCGGAAGCTTCCGTGATTCACTGTATGACGGGTGGAATCCAGAGCACCCCCCGCGAGGCGCAGAGGAGGGCCCCCAGGGGACCAAAAGTGAAACGAAAGGAACGCCGGGGGCACCCTGGCCCGGCGATTGGGCGCTTGCCGCAGTCAACGCGTACAACAAGCACGCACGATCAGGATGCAAGCGCCTTCGAAGGTCATGCTAACACCTCTCGAGCGGGGCGCGGCCAGCGAAAGTGGCCAGGGATGGTGCGAAGAGGAAGGATGCGAAGGGTGACCTCGGAGAGTCGCTCATCCTTACTACCCGTGCTGACTGCAACCTGGATCGGGGAGGGCACCCCCGACGCATGAGGCCAGCGCCGCCTGCTTTGGCGACGGAGCGCGCCGAGTCCCTGCGGAAGCGGGACCCGTCGCCAGTCCACGCACGCATCGGTCCGCGCCTGCGCTTCCGCGACTCCGAGGCAGGGCGAGCGCCCCCCCGGCGGCGAGGGGGCGACGCTGAGGGGCAACGTTAGGCTAGGGGGGGGCGGCTCCAGGGGGGGGGGGGGAACGTCGGCCTGGAATCGGCGATACATCGCGGATAGCTCGGCGGTGGGCCCCCGAGAGCGAATCCGCCCGCCCCTGGGCGGGGTGGGGCTACCAGGCCCCCTATCAGCGAGATCGGTGGGCGATTGCAAGTCGATGCGTTCGGCGGCCGTTCGGGACGATCGGGGCACCCCCAGAACGGGCGAGGCGTAGCTGCTGAAGAGCACCCCGAGGCTGGGAGACCACCGAGATCCGACGAAAACGCCAGAGATCCCGTCTGAGCTTAGAAAGTGACTCACAGAAGCTTGTGGTCGTCCCCGTGGCGCCCCATGGCTCGTCCAATAGCGCGCGAAGCGGACGCAATGCAGCTCCCTCATATGGCGCCATTGAGCGCCATTTGAGTGCTATGTGGCGCTCCTGCGCGCAACGTGGCGCTACTGGGGCGCTACTGACCGCCACTGGGCGCTGTTGAACGCTATTGAGCACAACTGAGCGTTATTGAACGCTTTTGGGCGTGGTGCGCGCGCTAGTGGGCGCCATTGGGCGCCTTTCGCCGATACACGGCCAACGCAAGACGAGCGGGAGCTTCTGTGCCTTACTGTTCACGGCAGGTTCGCGTCGTGACGACCCCGGCCGTTGGTTTCTGACACCGCGTGGATCGCTCAACCTTGAACGATCGGCCGTTCCCGCAACGTCTAATCGTTCAGCATCGACCGATTCTGGGCCGCCGCGGGCGTTCAACGTTGAACGCCGCCGGCGGGGTCGCCGCCAGTCGACACGACCCGAACCTACCGTAACTGAGCCCATCCTCCCTCCCAGCACTGCTCCTTGATCGAGGCGCGCGCAGCTGCTGCAGAGTGCGCGGCTCTCGGCGAGGCCCGTTGTGCCGGAGAGCACTCGGACCTCGAACCTCGAACCTCGAGCCTCGAACTTCGGACCCCGAACTTCGCACTCCGCACCTCGGCATTCGAGCCGAGGACGGGCAAGGAAGGCCCGAAAGCCTCGCACCTCGAGCTTCGGCGCGCCCCCCCACCGAGCCCGTCCGCCCCTGCTCTGGACGGGACAAGAATCGCCTCCCCCCCCCCTTGCATCCGCCGGGGGGGAAGGGGGCACGTGCTGCCGGCACGGGCGGAGGGGGGGATCGGAGGAAGAGGAGGAGGGGGGGGAGGAGGGGGACGAGGACGGAGCGGGCGGGATTGGGCAGGCTCACTTGGCAGGTTTCTCTCCCCCCCCTCCTGATGAATACCCCATCCAGAGTACAGTCAACCCGGATAGAGGAAGGATGCGCGCCAAGGATGCAGGGGCCTCGGCCGCCCGTTTCGAAGCGTTTCGAGCGGGGCGCGGCCAACGGAAGCGGCCAAGGGTGGACCCAGGAGGCAAGGATGCCAAGGGTTCCCTCGGGAGGGATGCCTGTCCTTCCTGTGCGGGTCGACTGGAACGTCTCCCACCCCCCGAGCGCTGCCGCCGAGGCGCGGCGCGCGCGCCGCGCGCCGCCCGCGGCCCGAGGAGGACCCGTGGCCTGGCGAGCGCCCCGCTCTCGGCGAGAGGGCGTCGGCGGGGGGGGGGGGAGGCGCTCACGGCCCGGCCGCCCTGCGCCGCAGGGGGCCTGCCGCACGGGGTCGGGGACACGAGGGGCTTGGCTTCGGGCGAGGGCGACGAGGGCCACGACGACGTCGTCGTCGCCGCCGCCGCTCTGAAGATGGCGTCCCGAGGAATGTCGGTGGCTTGAAAGACGGGGCTTGAAGACGGGGTTTTAAAGGTGGTGCGGGGAGAAACGTCGGTGGTGTAAGGGTCGGGGAGACCTGTGGGTGGTCAAAAGAGGGGGTCCTGAGACACGGGGTCCTCAGGGCGAGGTGCCTCAGACAATGATAAATCCACTATTGGATCCTTTCCTGTCCTTAGGACCCCATCCCTCAGGATCCCACCTTTGAACCTCCGAACTTCGGGCGCGGCTTCGGGGGGCGACGGTGACGAACGAGGGCGACAAGGGCCATGACGACTGCGGCGGCGGCAGCGGCACGACGACGGCGACGACGGCGCAAGGGGTCGGGGACACCTCTCGGTGGTGTGAAGAGGGGGTCCTGAGAAATGGGGTCCTAAGGGCGAGGTGCCTCAAACAATGTAAATCCACGCTCGGGTCCCTTCCTGCTCTTAGGACCCTATCCCTCAGGATCCCACCTTTGAACCTCTGAACTTGGGGCTCGGCTTCGGGGGACGACGGTGACGAACGAGGGCGACCAGGGCCACGACGACTGCGGCGGCGACGATGACGACGACGACGACGACAACGACGATGACGACGACGACGACGACGACGACGACGACGACGACGACGACGACGACGGCAACGACGACGGCGACGACGGCGGCGACGACGGCGTCGACGACGACGACGACGACGACGACGACGACGACGACGACGGCAACGACGACGGCGACGACGACGACGGCGGCGGCGACGACGACGACGACGACGGCGGCGGCGGCGGCGACGAGGACGACAAGGACGACAAGGACGAGGACGACGGGGACGAGGACGACGATGATGACGACGACGAGGACGACGACGACGAGAACGACGGAAGCGACGAGGGTTGGCCTGACGGGGCAGCCACGCAACTGACGAGACCCAGTCTGAAGTTTGACGCGAGCTCCCGCTGCAAACCCGAGTTCCGGCGAATTCGAGTCTTACGCTTCCCCGACAGAGGGCGGAAAGCTTCTCTGACAGGAGGAACAAAAAAAACAATAAACAAAAACAAAAAAAGCGGCGGCGGCGACGACGACGATGAGGGCAACGACGACGACGATGACGACGGCGACGGCGGCAACGAAGGCAACCGCGGCGACGACGACGACGACGACGACGACGACGACGACGACGACGACGACGACGGCGGCGGCGGCGGCGGCGGCGGCGGCGGCGGCGGCGGCGGCGACGACGACGACGAGGCGGAGGCGGGTGAAGGAGGAAGGAGGGGGCGAGAGGAAGGAGGAGGCGGAGGCGGCGGAGCAGCAGCAGCAGCAGCGATTGCTGGAGCGATATCTTCGGGGGCAGCGCCCCCCCCCCCCCAGGAGGAGGAGAAGGGGGGGGCTACTCTGGCAGCAAGTGGAGCAAGCCAGGTGACGACACCGCAGCGAGGGCTTTGTTCATACCAATAGATCTACATCTATATATACACACACAAAAGATAAAGAGAGAGAGAGAGAGAGAGAGACAGAGGCAGAGAGAGAGGGATAACCAAAAAAACAAACAACATGGAAGTGCCACCAGGTTGTCCAGCAACACTGCGAGATGAAAGAAACAAAGCGAGGACTGTCACGGGTGGACCACCACCACCCTCCAGGTGTAACCGTTCCCCGCGCCCTAGCACGGGGGCAGACGGAGAGAGAGAGAGAGAGAGGCCTCCTTGGTGAGGTTCGAGTAGATGGGGTCGGAGGACCCCGCAGCATCGCCGATGCATGGCCGATACATCGGCGATGCATCGGCGATGCATCGCCGACGTCGGCGATACATCGGCGCCGTCGGCATGGAGAAAACCGAAACAGGATCCACATCAAGCCGCATCGGCGAGTTACTCGGACCCCGTTTGGGAGGTCTGGCTGATAGCAAGGGGCCCGCTGCAGTTGGTGGGCAGCGCTGGGCGAGCGGCGCAGGGAAAAGCGAATACAAAAGCACGATAAGGACAAAGCTTACGGAAGTCCCGAGCGAAAATCTTGCCCCTCCCTGGCGCGCGGAGTGCGCCGAGGGCGGCGCCGTAGGCGCCGCCAGGGGGGGGTCCGGCGCCGATCCAAGAAATTCACCGGAACCTTCGAAAGTCTATGCTTCTGCCGCGTGTGTACTTCTTCGATGACGGGGCCCAGGGACACACGAGCGAATAGACGCAAATCCAAGGATTCCCTATAAATCCTCCCATATATTCTCGAGGTCCGCCTCCCCCTCCGCTTCCCATAAATTCCAGAGTTCTCAGGAATCGACGATGATTTGCGTCTGCGTCTTTTGCCCCGGGTATCTAGTTGAACTGGTTCAAATCGGCGGTGGACAAACCTCCCTTTAGTAAACCTCCCCTTAATGAAAACGACCTGGGGCCGAAACCGACGGACCTGGATCCGCAAAAATGACGGCCGCGACGCCCTCTCGCGAACCGAAAACGGCCAATTCGCTAATCGACGTGTCAGGGTAGGAGGTCTATCCACCTCCGATTAAAGATGTGTACCAGGGGACGCTCCCCCCGCAACTGCCGCCGCCCGCAGAGCACCAGCTACGGCAGGCCTGGGCGAGTGCTTCCAGTATATATATATATATATATATATATATATATATATAATATATATATTTGGGATTTCGGGGCCCAATCACTGCGCGGCTCCCCTTACTGGACGGCTCCCACTCACTACGGGGCCCAATCACTACGCGGCTCCCACTACTACGGGGCCCAATCACTACGCCCAATCACATCCTTAACGGGTGTCCTGGCCATACTGGACCGAAAGCCGCGCACCAAAGGGCACTCAGGTGAAGCACTCTGACGTGTGGCCGACCTTGATTCCGGAGAGGCTGGGGCCGGACGGAGAGCGACCGCTCCGTATGGACCTGCTCCGTATGAACTTGGCCTCCTTTCAGGAGGGGCGCAATCCAGACGGGGTAAGCCCAGATGGAGATCCAGCACACCATAAGGACTTACTCCATGTGGACTGAGAGTCCGTCGATTGAGTCTGGGCGGTGCACTTCTTGTTCACGCCAGACTGTTTCGCACAGCTCCGGGCCACCCTGGGCCCCTCGCGGATCCATCGGGCAAGAGACGTACAGCAGAAACATGGGGTTAGGGGCTCCGGCTGTGATGTCTTCGATGCTGCATGCTTGGGGCAACGTGGGATCTCAGGGTCTGAGGAACAGGGTGTCCTGGACGCGCCGTCATCGAGCTCCGCGGCCCTCCGCGCACCCCTGGCCAGTCCACAGAACAGCTCGGTAGGAAGAGCTGGCCCCTGGAGGGGGGGCGCCCCCTAGTTTCTGGGACCCGCTCCCCTCGGGAGGCCTGTCCTTCCTGGCGGTCCCTGCCGCGGCCAGGGAGGACAGAGCTGCCTGGCCACAGAAGGCGTCCAGCTCCCTCTCTGAGGCCCTCCTCCCCCAGTGCTCTCTTGCCGCGTGACGCCTGGGTGCTCCAGAGGCGTCCAGGAGTCCCTCTCTGCTGGAGTTTTTTTCTGACGACGACGACGACGACGACGACGACGACGACGACGACGACGACGACGACCCTCTCGGCCTCTTCAAATTTAGGCGGACGCTAGGAGTGGCGCCTCGTTGCTGCATCGTCAGGCTGTCCGACCCACGCCCCCAAAGGTGGAGAAATGGGTGCTCTCTCCGTCGGGATCCGCGGCATCTATCCCCGTCTGGGTGGTGTGGGCTGGTGGCGCTAAGGTGCCCTGGCGCAGTGGGGACGGGGATAGAAATGGCGATGGGATGGAGACCGCCAAAGCGGGCAACTCGGGAAACGGGGCCTCAGGCGGAGGGGCACAGCCTCCTCGCGCGGTGGCTCACGCGGGCCGTCGGGGCGGCGCGACGCGTGGAGAGAAGAGGGCGGCTCACGCGCTGCCGCGCGCGGGCAGCTTACGCGCGAATGTCGACGCGGTCGTTCCCGTCTCTCGCGGGGGGCCAGGGAGGGGCCCTCTGGTAATGTGCCCCCCCCCCGTTCTGCGGATACGATTACGACTACGATTGCGATTACGACTACGACTAGAACCACGACTACGGTTACGACTGCAGTCACGACTACAGAAGCGATTACAACCAGGACTACAACCACGACTACAACCACAACCACTGATCCTTAATCCAAAGTGCATGAAAAGATGTTCACATATCCTCTCGCGTGTGTGGCATCCTACAGTGGATTAAACCCTTGGAGAAAATACCCCTTCAGACTATCCGGCCCGCCCAACAGAGGGAACAGGTTCTCCACCGCGACGACGACGACTGCGATTACGACTTCGATTGCGACTACAACTACGCCTACAATCACAATTACAATCACGATTGCAACCACGACTGCAATCACTATTACAGACATGAGAATTGACATCCGCATGAGAAGATGCTCACACATCCTCTCGCGTGTGGGGTAGTCCACAATGGATGAATCCCTGGGAGAAGTATCCCCCCAACATTATCCAGCCCGCCCAACAGTAGAGCGTAAATGATATCCGCCGCGACGACGGCGACGACGACGACGACGACTACGATAACGACCATGAGGAGAAGCAGGAGGACGAGGAGTAGGCGGAGAAGGAGGAAGGGAGGAGGAGGAGGAGGAGGAGGAGGAGCAGGAGCAGGAGCAGGAGCAGGAGCAGGAGGAGCACGAAGAGGGGCGAGTTAGTTACCCGCTGAGAACAATAGGGGGGGGGGGATAGGGGGGGGGGGGGGGGGCAAAACTGAAGACCCCCTGAAATGACCTGCGTCTGATCCTCCGACCTCTCCTACATCCTCCCACTTCTTCCTTTAGGGCTCCCAACTTCGCGCTTCGCGCTGCGCGAAGCGCGAAGTGCGAATAACTTCGCGCTCTCGCGCCGCCTCCCAGGGGAGAAGTGGAGGGTGAGGAGGAGTCGGAGCCGAACCGCGAAGCGCGAAGCGCGAATAACTTCGCGCCCTCGAGGGCGCCCCTGTTCCTGCACCCTCGCTCCCCAGGGCACGCAGAAGCAAAGGTGACCCGCGCGGATCACCGGCGCACCTGCTGCCTCTCCTGGGCTCCTTGTGCCTCAAGCTCCTCCTCCCTACCCATACCTTCTCATGCTCTCGACCGCGTCCCCATCCTGCCCGCGTTCATCCTACTCGTCCTCCATCTCTGCAGGTTCCTCTCCAGTCTCATCCCCCGTCCCTCCTCCTCCCCGTCTCTCCTCCTCCTCCTCCTCATCATCATCCTCCTCTTCTTTATTCCCCAATCAGAGCTTACCTCTGTAGGGGTCTTAGAGGATTCATATGGTTAGGTTAGGTTTGGCGCCGATGTTCGCTGCACGCCCGGGTGCCCAGGTGCCCAAGGGTGCCCGGGGCCCGGGTGCCCGGGTGGGGCCCGGGTGCCCATCACCACCACCACCACCATCATCAGCATCATCATCAGCATCATCTTGATCAGCATCAGCATCAGCATCAGCATCATCATCGCCATCACCACCACCACCACCACCACCATCAGCATAATCACCATCATCATCAGCGTCATCATCATCAGCATCCTCATGATCATCCTCATCCTCATCATCATCAGCATCATCATCATCAGCGTCATCATCAGCGTCATCATCAGCATAATCATCATGATCCTCGTCATCATCATCATCATTTTTGCATCATCATCATCAGCATCATCATCGCCATCAGCATCATCATCACCATCGGCATCGTCATCACTAGCAGGGTCAGCATCAGCATCATCACCACTATCATCCGCATCAGCATCATCAGCATCGTCATCAGCATCATCAGCATCATCATCATCATTAGTATCATCATCAGCAGCATCACAAGCAGCAGTATCATCAGCAGCATCATCATCCTCATCTGTCCTCCTCATCCCCATCCCCATCCCATCCTCATCCTCATCCTCATTATCATCCTCATCCCCAATATCATCCTCATCCTCATCCTCCACCGGTTTCCCCTCTGCTTCCTCCTCCTCCTCCTCCTCCTCCTCGCCCCCCCCTTCGAACAATCCGCAAAGGCGGTTGTGGATCACTGCTGGGCTGGATGCTGCTACACATCCCTGATCAGGGCAACTCGCTTGGTCACTGCTTCGGGATGGGCTGGTGGGGACGCGCGATACGTCAAGAAAGCAAGCAGTGGATGCAGCCGTGGCCACGGGCGCGCCCCAGGACGCGCAGAAAGAACAAGAAATCTTCAAAGGCATCAGACCTCGAATCTCCGATCACAAGCCTGCCCGTCCGAGCCTGATTGCAGGCAGCGAAATGGCGCCCGCCGCAGCCCGGGCGAGTGCGGCAGGGGTGCTGGCTGCGCGAGCGCCGCTGTTCGGCTTGCGCCATGCCTGGCGAAGGCACGTCGTCGTGAGAGGAGGCAGAAAAAGGTAGTGAGCATCGTTCTACCCATCACCATCCCCACTGGCGTGTGGCCTTGGCCCCACTGGCCGACATATACATACATATACACACACGTAGGTCTGGACGTACGGATGTCCCGTCGAGCTTCGCGGGGCCAATCCCCACCTGGGAGGGTGCGCTGGTGGGGCTGAGGTACCATGGCCCAGTAGGGATGTTGGGATAGACTGGACGATGCGGAGGAAGAAAGATGGCGCGAGGAGGGGGCAGGGGCAGAGTATGACAGTAAGCGTGGCGCTGATGCACCTGAGGACAGGCGCGAACCTGCAGATGTCGGCCGGGGTTAGCGGGTTCCCTCATCGAGATTGGGCAGCGCGAGGACGGGAGGCGGCGGAGGCGGAAGCGGCGGCGGCGGCGGCGGGGGGACAGGATGCAGAGGCGCAGGACGGGAGGGAGTGGTCCCAGCACTGGGCTAGCTGCCTGCAAAGTACGGTCCGAACCTCCTGCACACCACTGCTTATTTGCCAGTGCACTTTGCATTCAGTCCCCCGCTGCCCAGCTGCTGATCCCTCTCCTACGGCAACCTTTGTTCGCGCCTTCAATGTGCAACCAATCGCAAGGCAAACTTGTCGGAAATTGCGCACAAGGCTGGCGCCTCGCACCGCACCTCCAAACCCAGCACAGCGAAGCGCGCGCTGCAGGCGCCACGTTGTCCGACAGCGGCAGCAAGACCAAGTGGAAGAGAATGGTCACTGCGCTACCAGAAGGGACGATGACAACGGCACGGAGGGGCGGGCGCTTCTGGCCGCGGCGAGCCTCGGCCACGGATCGGTTCCCCGACCCAGGTCGAATCGATGATCTTCAGAACGCGCGTTCGCGCCACAACGTGTGCTGGCCCAGCGGAGCCCTCCAATACTACGTAGGTGGTGCAACGATGGCCAGCACGGTTGCAGTTGGTTTCCTGCCGTCACAGGAAATCTGCAAAAACTCCTCCCTCGCGCACCTGCAGCTCGCCGAAGCAATTTGCACCACCATGGCGGATGAGGGGTTCCATGCTCGCGAGGATCCCCGAGAGAAAGATACTCGAGACGCTCCTCGCTCGCACCCATACTGCGACCACTGCCGCTTCGTATCGGCGCGGAGCAATCTTTCACGAGATGATTGACGTTGCCGCAAATGTGGCATCGTAGGGTTTTGCCGTCCTGGCCCCAGCGATTGCGATTTCTGTCTTTGTCGTTCCCTTCTGTTCGTCGACAGCGGACTTTCCTTCTCCACCGCGAAATATTACGCCGCACGGATCATTACAAAGCTTGACAACAAATCCAGCATTCCCCCTCTTTTCAGGCGTCTCCGCACTCCTTTTGCCCTAGCTTTTTACCCCACCCATCCTCTGCATGTTCTGCAGTACCCGTCAAACCGGCTCGCGGGTGAACACCCCCCCCCGCCTCCGTCTGGCGTTCTGTAGCAACCAGAAAGGATGTGCTGCCATCAGTTCGTCGTTTCCCATCTTATGAACAATGGTCAAAATCTGGTCTTTCACTACCGTTGGAAGAGATGGCATTGGATTCAGCATCTGAAACACAGTCGTCGACAGCGGGGCAAGCGGATGCCATTGGGTTTGTTTCCCCCCGTCGGGTGGACGCGCGTTGGGGGGGGGCAACGGCCGCGCGGCTTGAGCGCCATGTTGACCAGTCGTTGTCGTCATCGGTGGAAGCCTGGGGCCATGGCAATAAGGCAGTGTTATCGCCAGCATCCTCGTCTGCGCCAGGCTGCCCGGCAGCGCCGTGCAAACATCTGGCCGCATCGAACCGTCGGAACATCGTAATCAAATCGGATAGAGCCAGCCAGAATTGACAGCTTATCGAATTCATACGAGCGACGCCCAAGCTTCTCCTCCGACGTTGCGCTTTGGCTTGTGGCACAGGCCCCTGGAAACCTCGACCACTTCCCCAGGGCCGCTGTTTTTTTGCCGCCAAGACAAAACACCTGGACGACACAACCCGAATAGAAGTGCCCAAGGTGCCCTGCATGAATTCACATGTGGTCGGACCTCGCAAAATGAATGACAGCACAGACACGCCCCAGACGTCTCATCTGCGCCGCCGTTGCGAGGCGCCTCGAGATGCCACCCCGAAGCTCGGCGACTGGCACCACCCCCACTTGGTCGCCGGCCTCAACCGGAGACCCCACTGCCCGAGGACTTCAGTTCCCGCGCCCCGAGCCGTCTCTGGACGCACCCAGAGCCGGGGAGCGGCCTCCCGAAACCCCAGACGGTGAGAAACCAGCCGCCGCGATATCGGCCGCAGACGCCCAGCAGGCCTGCGGAGAAGCGCCCGGAGAAGCAGCCCACCCCCGCCCCCTGAGGGGGGCCTCCTCGCGGCGCCCACGCCCCCGGCGGCGCCCGCGGCCGCGGCGCACGCCAGCACCGCGCGCAGAAGCGCGCGCCGCGTCCGCGCGCGGCGGCCCGGCGCCCCGGCGGCTGCGGCGGCGGCGGCAGCGGTCGCCGCAGGCGGCGGCGGAGCGCCGCCGTCGGCCTGCCGGGGCTGAGCGCGCAGGGCGTGCCAGAAGGGGCGCTCGCGCGCTCGAGGGTCGCTCGAGGCTCGAGGTTTTCGGACGTGTTCGCAGGTTCCCCGAGATTTTCCAGCCTGGGGGTGCATTCCAGCAGCTGCGCCTCTCCGAGGGCGCCCCGGGGGTGCCTGGATCGTCCCGAACGGCCACTGAAGACCCGAATCATGGCCCGACAGCCAAACCTCCTCGCTCTCTGAAAGAAGCACTACTGCCACTCAGTATAATCATCTTTGAGATCAGTATCAGAGCCGTCCCCTCTGAAAAGCGCCCCTTCTCGCGACAAGCCCCCTTCCGTGACGACCCCTCACCCTCGAGGCCCCCTTCTGGCCGCCTGGCCACGTCGTGGAGCGAGGCGAGGGGTCGTCACAGAAGGAGTCGGTTGGTTGAGCCGCCCCTGACCATCAGCAAGGCCTCTCGTCTCGAGCGGAACGGCCAGGGGGGGGTCGGGCTCCGGGGGAAAACCTTGCCTTGGAATCGGCGAGACGCCGCCGGTAGATCGGCGGCAGGCCCTGGATCGCGAAAGCCCGGGCTCCTGGGCCGGCTGGGGCGCCAGGTCCCGATCGGCGAGGAGTGGGCGATCGGGGTCCACCCCCCCCGAGCCCCTGCCGGCGCCCCAGATTCGCCTGCCTCGAGCCCGCCCACTCGGATCACCGCTGAGGCTGCCGAGGGGACAAGGGGGGTTCGGGGGGTGCCAAGGTGGGGGTTCTATCTGAGCTACGGCAGGTTCGCGTCGTGCCGACCCCGGCATTCGTTCCCGACACCGCGCGGATCGTTCAAACTTGAATGGTCCGCTGTTTCAGAAACGCCGTATCGTTCAACGATGCGCCGATTCTTGGCCACGGGCGGCGTTCAACCGTAAACACTCGCGCTGGGGTCGCCGCCAATCGACACGACGCAAACCTCTCGGAACCACGCATACAATGAGTTACAACTGCCTTAATGGGCTCACGCGGGGCAAAGATCTGGGCCGAGTGGGCGGAGCCCACCCAGCAGAGTTACCAAGCCCCATTGGAAGCCGCTCGGTAGGTTGGGCCAGATCTGAACCACAGCAGCCCTATGGCGGTGGTCCAAGCAGGGGGGGACGGAGGCCACAGGCGAGGGCCCCTGCGGGCGGGGAGGCGAGGCGGGCGAGGGGAGGAGGGCGCCCACACAGGCCACCGCCAGAGGGCTTGTCAGAGGACGCAGCTGCCGGCGGCCCGTCGAGGGGATCGGGGGTGGATCGGTCCTCGATGTTCCTCGGCGGGCCAAGACAAGATAGGCATCGTTGCTTCATCGCCAGGCCAGGCCTCGCCTTCTCCTCGGTGGTTCCTCGGTCGCCCCTCGGCGCTCGGCGAAGCATCTCGACACCCTCGGGGGTGCTGGATGTTTCGTCGGGGGTCGAGGTTCGACAAAAGTCGAGGACCTAGGATCGAGAAAAATACGACCGACAAAGATCCATATGTAGATACAGATATGTATATATATAAGGTTGCAACCAAAGCCGAGAATATGGAATCGAAGATGTATTTATAACAATAAAAAATTGCGCGTCGAGAACCATCGGGAATCGGGCCTCCAGGAGGGGGCCCCGGAGGCCTCCAGTTTGGACCCCTGAAATGGGTACAAAGAGGATGGGTACGATGCCCAGCAGCACATGTTGTCCAAAACCGACGGCGGCCGCTCTTGGGCAGAACGCCCTCTGTATCCGGTGGACGACGACCGCCGCGACGCCGACAACGAACCCTGTTCAGAGTGGACAAGAACTGCTGTTCGACTTCGTACCCACTGTCTCCGGACCAGTTTCGATCGTCCCGATCCAGGAGAGCCCTGTCCGGGGGGGGGGGGGGCAGCCGCGAGGTCCGCCGCGGGTGCCGGCAGTGCGGCGGTGCTCGCTGACCTGCCAGGGCGCGCCGTGAGGACGCCTCTGCGTCGATCCCTGGCATGGCCCCCGTTGCCTTCTCTTGTTTCGCTTTCGGGGAGGAAGACGAAGAGGAGGAGGTGGAGGAGGAGGAGGGGGAGGAGGAGGAGGGGGAGGAGGAGGGGGAGGAGGAGGAGGAGGAGGAGGAGGAGGAGGAGGAGGAGGAGGAGGAGGAGGAGGAAGAGGAGGACGAGGAGGAGGAGGAGGAGGAGTGTCAGGAGAGGAGGAGGAGGGGGGAGGAGGAGGAGAGGAGGAGGGAGGAGGAGAAGGAGGAGGAAGAGGAGGAGGAGGAGGAGGAGGAGGACGGGGAGAGGAAGAGGGCGGATGACCGGGAGGAGGAGGAAGAGGGCGGGTGACCGGGAGGAGGAGGAGGAGGAGCAGGAGGAGGGTAGATCAGGGTAGATCAGGAAGTGGAGCATGCTCCCTCACACTGGCGCAGGGAAGCGCCACTGTGACAGCGTCCAGCTGCAAGTGAGCCGCGCACCAGCCACGACAGGAGGAACGGAGGAGGGAGTGCGACCACAGAGCTACACCTGAATCGGCCTCGATCGCTGTGCGAATCAAAAGGTCCACAGGCAATCCGGGAGCACGACACGAGCCGACCTGCGATAGGCGAGATCATGCACTGGACTGTAGCAACAATTTCCGTCTGAGCCCGTTCGTCGGCGGCAAGCCCACGGGGGAAGGCAGAACGGGCGGGGCTTCTCAGAAGGCTCCGAAGGCCTCCAGCCTTCCGAGAAGCTTTCTGAGCCATTAACTATCCGAAGGCGCAGGCGGCTCCTCAAAGGCGCGAGTGCGTCCGACAAGCCCTGCCGCCCTCTGATAAGGCCTGCCCCCTCTCACGTCCCCCCTGGGCCTGCGCCGAGTTCAGCGTCTGAGCCCATTCGGCCGCCGAGCGGGCTCGAGGTCGAGCCCGTTCGGCGGCCGTGCGGGCTCAGTTCCCACGACTGTGTCCGGAGTGAGCCCGTTCGTGTGCTCATTCGGCGGTCGAGCAGGCTCAGACGCCGAACGGGCTCAAAGGGACCCCTGGGCCAGGAGGCGTTCGCCCATGTAAGAGGCATGGCGATCCTAATGCCCGACATGGTGCGACTTCCGACTGACCAAATGATCTGGGGACCAGCTCGGAGATATAACGCTGCGGCGGCGCTCGTCCTACGTAGGGGTGCGTCCGCATACCCCCCTGGGGCTGTATCCCCACGGAAACCCTCTTTTCTAAACTCCCAGGTCTGCTTTGGGGGGGACTCTGCGGCGGCGCTCATCCTACATAGTGGTGCGGCCGCATAGTCCCCTGGGGTTGTATCCCCAAGGAACCCCTCTTGTCTGAACTTCCAGATCTATTTTGGGGGGGACTCGGCGATGGGGGGCGAGAAATCGCCTTCGACCATGGACTCCTCGCTGCCCGCTGGCCTTCCGGGGTCTCTGACGACCTCCAGTCGGCTTCGGCGGTCTCTGGCGGGCCTCATGCGCGAAAGCTGGCTGGCTGCGTTTGATCATGGATCCACGATCGAGCGTCTAGGATAATCATCTGTGCACCGACCCCAGGCCCAGGGGTTATGTTGCTCCAACCGTACTTAAGGACCACATCTAAGAAATAATTTCGAGCACCCGGAAAAGTGTCGAGAGAGTGTCGAAACAGTGTCAGACACGTGAATACCTCTAATTTCGGCTCTTTTTCCTGATGCTCGAAATTCTGGCGATCCAGGCTCAAGTAGGTTGGAACATCATAAGCCCAGGGTGGGACTGGCCGCGTCCAGTGCGAGTGGACGCTTCGCGTCCTCTGGCGAAGCGTTCTCGAGGGTGGCCCAAGAGGGGCGAGCTTGACAGCTGTGCACCCCTCCGTGGTGCTCACTGCGACAGGAAATGGAGGAGAAAAGGGGCGCGAAGGGAGCGTGGAGGAAGCATGGCCCGTGGCGAAGGGCGGAGGGAGCACAACTTCGCCTTGACAAGGCTGGCAGTGGGCAGCCGTGCGCCGGTGACCAGCCACGGCGACTTGGAAGCCATGTCTCCATCCCAACCCTTCTCCTTCCATTGAAGGCCGCCCAGATGGGCTCGGAGCAGGTGGCGTCGGAAATCGCGCTGCACCGCTGATGTATCGGCGATGCATCAGCGAAGTCGGGGAGGCGCAACTCGGGCTCTGGAGCCGGCCGCATCGCCAGTGCAGCGGCGGTGCACCGCGGTCCTCCAGCCCCGTGTACCCGGACTCTGCCAGGGCGGCCTGGAGCCATGCCCGTCTTCTTGGCCGCGCGGCCAGAAGTCTCTGAGCGTCACAGCTGCTCGGAGCTCCGAGCCCGACGCACGCCCAGGCAGACAGGAGCGGCGAAGCTGACGGAACCCCAGCAGCCCACCAAATCCACGGCGGCCCTGGCGGCCCACGAGTCCGTGAGGCCGGAGGCGGGTGGCGAGGTCGGATCCTGAAGGGGCCCCAAGCTAGCATCGTCGCCGGCCTCAGATCTGCGGAGGCCGCGCTCGGAATCGGGACCACTTGACTGCCCCCTGGCTCGGAGCTGGAGACTCGTGGCACCATTCAGCAGAGCCCTCCCCTCATGGACACTAGTCTCCAGACCTGAAGGGCCATCTGCACCACCCCTTTTGACCAAGCCGGACTGGGCGGCGGTTCGAACCACATTGCCCATGCTCGCATTCTTGAGGGTGAAACTGAAGGTCTACGGAAAGTGGGCAGAAGCCAGGAATGTGGGGGTGCCATGCTCTCGATTGATCTACCCGACGGGCGCGGCGAAACTCACGTGTCTGCCATTCTACTCCCATCGTGCCGACGCTCTCCTGCACGCCCCATACTCGCTCCTCGACATGCCAGGCCCCTCTTAGGTGGCACCTGAGCTTCTGCCACTGCCGCCACCGCCATCGGCACGTCCAGTGTCACCACCGCCGCGGCCACAGCCGACACTTGGCAGCACGCTGGGGGGG